AATCTCTAGTTCATTATCATTTGAAGTTATAGCTTTTAATTAAAACTTTTGAGTTCATCAATTGCTGACTTCTCCTAAGATTTTATGTTACTATAGAAAAATTTGTTACTTTAAACCATAAGTTTCTTTTGGTAAAATTACAGGTATTCTTTTGTTAAGTTTCTTCTTAGTTCCTACCATCACCTTGCTGATCTGACTATATTCTTTTGTGGGAGATAAGTGCAAGTATCTTACTACTGAAATATCAATGTTTTTATATCTAATCATGAGTTATGAATAATGTAGGGAGATCCTGGCATGAAGGGGACCTTTGCAACTCGTGTTGCTGGATCTGCTGACCTTTACATGGTAAGTTTCATTTATGAAAACTGTTATTGCATGGTTAGTATACTTTATTTCAGTTGCTTTTTCAAATTTTAACAACTTTATGTTTGGGTGCTGTAGTTAAACAATGTTTAAAAGAAACCTAGAAGTTTGAACCAAAGGTTTTTTGCTCAAGTTTTCAGTTTAAAGAGTGATAATCTGATTCTAAAACAAATGATGTGTGTGTTAAAAGATCTAATGCATCATTGGGGCAGTGCTTCTAGATATTGATGTTATTTGATATTAGACAATTAGCTTGGATCTAATTCTCTGGTAAGAAAGCTTGAATTCATATCTGGCTTACCTTCCCCTCCCTCCATCTTCCAAAATGGCATTGCTACTTAACTTTTGATCACATCTTCCTTATGCTTATTATGCAGGTGAATAAGCGCAAGCCTTACCACAGCATTAATTTTGTAATTGCACATGATGGGTTCACATTGTATGATCTTGTTTCCTACAATTTTAAGGTAATTTTAAACTTATGATGTCAATTTAATGCTATGCATTTAGTCTGGAGAATCTTTTGTTACCCATAACTGCTGGTTTTGCAGCACAATGATGCCAATGGAGAAGGTGGAAAGGATGGAAGCAATGACAATTTAAGTTGGAATTGTGGTTTTGAGGGTAATTAAAATGTTCCTATTTATTATTTATAAATGCATTAGCAATAGATTTGAAGACGATTAGGGCCTTATCTTGAGTTACACTGCAAGATTTTACTTGTGCCATTTTCTTTTTGGACAGGAGAAACTGATGATGCTAACATCAAAGCCTTGCGCTCCCGACAAATGAAAAACTTTCATTTGGCATTGATGATATCACAGGTAATGCATCTATATTGATGAGGTATTATGTTCCATTATACTTCTTCATGAATTTCTATTCTGCCACTCCTGCCCACTTCTCCCACTCACTCTATATTTTTTCCTCCCCTAGCTTTTCTGTTTAGGATCCTTAGTTTTTCCCATTTTGCTGGCTAGATTTCAATTGTTGGCTTTTTACTGAATGTCAACTCAATGTTGTTATTCTTTGAGTTCATCTGATCAGGGAACACCAATGATGCTAATGGGTGATGAATATGGCCATACCCGGTATGGGAATAACAACAGTTATGGCCATGATACAGCGATTAATAATTTTCAGTGGACACAGGTAGCTCTTTAGTTTTATCCTGACAGCTTTAATCCAGATATTGATTGCTTGATGGTAACCTTTGTGTTAAAACAGTTTTTTTCCCCTTTTTTTTTGGGGGGGGGGGGGTGGTTTGAATTTTTGTTACGACAGTTGGATGCAAGGAGTAGCCAGTTCAGATTTTTCTCAGAGGTGATAAAGTTTCGGCAAACAAATAAAGTGTTTAGACATGAAAATTTTCTGAACAAAGTACAACTCTTTTCCACTTGTGTTTTGAGGTACCGCTTCGTTTCTTGTCTTTATCTGGATCTCATGGAAGTTAATTTATCTGTGCAGAGTGATGTCACGTGGCATGAGCATAACTGGGACAATTTTGACAGCAGATTTCTTGCGTTTACGTAAGAGCTCACAATCTTACAAGTTAACTACATGTGGAATGTGGATTCCATGCAACAAAATCAATTTGCTTTAGTAGTTTACTGACATCACTCTATGTCGTCTTGATTTTTATATTTGGAGTTGGCATTTCTAAAAGGGTTATTAAATGGGAAAGGCTAATATGATTGTATGTTAGTCATTCGGATCATCACCACTTTGGGGGCATGCTTGGAAGATCCGGTTTTATTGACATAAAACCCTGTTTAATTATGCTGGTTTTCCATATTCACGTTCCCTTTGTAAGTGTGACACTATTTCTCTGCACTCCCCTGCATTTCCACTAAATTATTTGTTTCACAGGCTTCATGACAGCAAAGGAGCTGATGTCTATCTGGCATTCAATGCTCATGACTTCATTGTTAAAGCTCAAATGCCTTCACCACCACCAAACAGGCGTTGGTTTCGTGTGGTTAGTCTTCTTTTCTTTCCCTTCTATGGTACCTGAACTGATGTCCCATTTTCACCATGGTCTGATTATCTACTACTCTTTCTTTCCCCATTCCAACTTCTTTCATACATGATCAATAGCTTAGATTCAAATTCAGGATCACCTTCTTTAAACTTGTAGGTGGACACCAATCTTGCATCTCCTGATGACTTTGTCCCCGGAGGAGTCCCTGGCATCAGCAGCACCTACAATATTGCCCCATACTCTTCAATTCTTCTTGAAGCTAAATAATGAACTGTCCTGTTTCTAAGGAAACGAATTGCTGAGCTTGAAGGAAGATTGTTGATTATTTCCCACGGGACAAAGGTGAAACTGAACAAATTTAAATTAGGTACACGAGGAGAAAGGAATGCGTTGAGCGCATTAACTTTATACTGTGTATGGTATCCTTTCATTCTTGATTTCTGCTTTCGTTTTTAAAAAATGAAGCCAGATTCCTTAAGAAAAAAAAAAAAAGAAGGGAAAATTTGGTTTTAAAATGGTGATCTTAAATAACCCATGAGAATTTGAATCAAAGTGGTTTTTAGAAAATACCATGTTTATTCTTTGTTCTATCATTGAATTAAGATGTTACTAATATTTCACCATGGAGCGTTGATCTTGAAAGAGGCTTATGTATATTTCGAATGTTTCACATTCAAACCTCCAGATCCCCAAATGTCAAAAAAATGTGATGAATGGACCATCAAAGAGTTGTTTTCAGTTTGGTTAATATATACATGAGCTGTCTAAGCAAAGGTCAATATTTTTCACTCCATATGATCTCACATCACGTGCACCTTCTCACATTGGTCTGGCAAAATGCATAATAGGTGGTATCATTTTATTTGTTGTAAAATTAAGTGTTACCAGTTTCGAATTCCCTCGTGATTCCAATGACATAATCTGTCATCAAGTTTTCAAACATATAACTGGTCATCATTTAAGACCCATCACATGCATCCTATCACAGTTTGAGGCTTTTAGTAGGCAACTTTTTATATATATAAATTCTATATACAGCTCTTCACCCTAACTAATTTGTATAGATATTTATGAAACTATTTAGTCTATAAATATTAAATTAAACTTTACTTTGAAGGGTAATTAGTGTGCAGTACCTGCTTCCTTTAAATTGGTTGTTTCTATATAGAGTTAAAGAAATTTAAACACATTTTTATCATAATTTACATAACTCTTAGCTATTTAAAATAATCTAACATTCATTTTAGGTTAAACTCCCTTTTTGGTCCCTCAACTATCGTACGGACCC